CCCACGTTGCTGGTCTCAGCCTCTCTATCTGGCCATATGTGTCCAGTGACTTGAGGCTAGCCTTACGGATAAAGAGGCCTGGCAGATTGCTGGCTAGTCACGCGATCTGGTTTAGCTCACAGCCAAGAAGGACTCCGCTCCTCTCCCCATGCCTCAGGGGTCACCTCTGCCCATACCCAGACCTTACTTTCCCCCTACTTCTCTCCAACCATCAACTTATCAGAGTTGCCGATCTGTTTAGCCAGAGCGCCCCAGGCCTGCTTCTGGAGCTGAAAGCTGAGGCAGCTCTCCGCCCCACTTCTCTACTGGACCTGGATAGGTAAGTTGGGCTATAACTGGGTCTACAGAACCAGCCATCCCAGATGCACAAAGCGGATGTAACCCTTAGGCCTGGCCCCACTGGAGGCCTCACTGGAGGCTCCCATTCAGCTTTACCAGAAAAGACTTGCATCCAGGGAAACGAGCCCTCAATCAGCCCAAAGAGTGGCTCCTGGTTTCTCTGATGGATGTGTTTATTGTGTGCTGGATCCCTCTGTCAGGAACCTCCCAAAGGAGCAAAGAACTGGGGAGGGAAACCCAGGCGCTCCATCCCCATCACTTATGACACTTAGCAGGGCTCTACCCTGGAGCCCAGGGAACCCATTTGCCAATAACCCTTGTTCCCCAGGCCTCCTGATGCCAAACCCTCCATGCTCTGCACACCCCCACGTGCTACTCTAGGAGCCACAGAGATTCAACTCGGCCATGGCAGCTGCACTTCCTTTCCCGTGGAGCATGCCTGCCGCAGCTCTGCTGCAAGTATAAATATAGTCTTTATAGAGATGAGGCTGGAGCAGCCATCACACTCCAAGCCTCGGTGCTGCTGGGTTAGTGTTGGCCTGGTGCGCCAGGCAGAGCTATCCTTTCAGAGGAGGAGCCAAGTAAAACACCGCCCAGCAAAATATACTTTGCACTGTGCCCCCGTTGAAAATGCAGTTTCATTGGCGCGCACGCGCGCACACACACACATGCCAGTCTTCATCTCAAGATCGCTTTGTGGCCTTCTCTACTAAAGCTCTGACTTTGAAATCTGCCTCGGTGGGAAACATCTATGAGTAAGTCATCTTACGCTCAATCTTTTGGACATTCCAGAACAAAATCACGACGCCTTAGGCAGATACAGTTAGTGATGTGTGTGAGAGAAAGAAAGGAATAAATCAACTTCACCGAGGGCCTGCTCTGGCTGGCGAAAGTGCTAGGTGTTCTCTCAGGTGTGTGAGCCTCAGAAAAGGTGTGGTTTTCTCCATTTCACAAGAGAAGAAATGGAGGCTCACCCTGAAGCCTGCCGAAAGCCACCAAGATCAGACTCCACCTACACTAGAGCCCAAAGCTCCTGACCTCAAGTTTGGTGTCTTTCTTTACCACCACCACCACCACCAACCTGCCCGCCCCACTTTTTGCCATCATGAATTCTGGACTCAAAGCCACATGCCCCACTGGACCCTTGACAACGGCATGTCTCTGTAGCAGCCATAGGCTTTCATCAAAGAGGGTAGGGGTGTGGGCTTTGACTCAGTCATATTAATAATGTCACATGGTCACTCGCCCCCCCCCTTCAACTTTTTCATGCCGACTGTGTTCTGACAACTTTTCATCCATCATTTACATTTCTGACTCCCCCTGAGTCCTTTAGGTAAGAAGGGAATCGTTGACAGTGCTCTGAGGGTTTCTGAGGGGAACAAGAGTTTGAAAATGTGGCTCTTGGTGAAGGCTAATGAGTCCTGGGTGGCAAGTAATGTGCAGGGTGCAGAGGACACAATGAAGATTTGATTCTAAAGAGAGAAAATAATAAATGCTTCTTCACTATCTTACATCCGCCCCAGGATCTGGAAAAATGTACCCCAAAACCTTAAAGAAAATAAAGACTTGTTCAATTGCTTTATTTTTTTTAAAAAAAGGAAAACAACTTCTACATCCTAAAGGCACAAGAAATAGGCAAAAGACACTTAAAAGTAGATATTAAAGAACTAAATCAACAAAAAAGCTTTAGATTCTAGAACTTTATCAAAGAAGAACTCTACATTAAAAATGGCTTTAACTTGCCTGACTAGCCAAGATGAGAAACAACCCCGGAGAGAGAGATGCCAGCCTGGGTCCACATACTGGACCTTGTAACCTTGGGGCTATCACCCAACGTCTCTCTGCTGCAGTTCCTCATCTGCAGAAGGGGACTGTACAGCCCATGGCATCAGGGTGGTCGTGCAGACAGGGCTTGGAAGAGGGCCTGGCACATAGTAAGTGTTCGGTGCGCGTTGGCTATGATTCTACTGGTATTGCTGCAACTGTAAAGAGCTCTGGTGGTGCAAGTGATTAAGCATCCAGCTGCTAACCGATAGGTCAAAAGCTCCAACTCATCAGCTGCACCTGCAACTGTAAAGAGCTCTGGTGGTGCAAGTGATTAAGCATCCAGCTGCTAACCGATAGGTCAAAAGCTCCAACTCATCAGCTGCACCGTGGGAGCAAAGACCTGTAATCTGCTCACACAGAGCATCCTACGTGCTCACTAAGGAGCCTGAGTGGTGCTGTGGGATAGGAGTTGGGCTGATGACAGCAAGGCCACTAGTTCAGACGTGCTAGCTCCTCCGTGGACTAGGAGGCTGTCTGCCTCCATAGACTTTAGTCTCAAAAGCCCTCAAGAGAGGCACCCTGAGTTGGAACTGACTCAGTGGCTGTGGGTTTTGGTGTATCGTCACTATGAGTTGGAACTGACTCGAAAGCACACAACAATGACTTGTACTTCTCAGGCAGAACTCTTTAGAGCTAGGAGTTCATAACCTGGGGCCTTGAGTCCATTCGACATCTGAAACAATGCAAAATTTTGTGAGTCTCCGCATGTCTCCGATAGAGGGTCCAGCACTTTCTCTGACTTTTCAAAGGGATTGATAACCCCCAAACATTTCATAATGCCTGCCTTTTAAAGAGACCCCTGTGTGGCAAGGTCAAAGGTAAAGTTGAAACCATCCAGAGTACACTCACAAAAGCAGCTCAGGCTGGGAGCCAAGAAGCCTACCTGCTACTCTTCCAATGGCCGCCACAGCCTCCCCCTACATGACACCTTCTTCAAAAACAGCCTTTACCTCTGACATCTACCAAGCGCCTTGCGAGGGCTCAGCAGTAGGAGGTCTGGTGGCTTATTTCCAGCGGGTGTCACTTTGTGGGCTCCCGCCAATCTTGGGTCACAGGCACCCGAATCGAGCAGCCTCTCGTGAGCTCTGATTTGGTGGGAGGCCCCCACACGACTGGAGCGCTCTGCTCCAGCTGTCGGGGACAGACTCCCATTCTCTGCCCTGCTCTCTAGGGCTCTGGGCTGAACACAACTGAAACCATTTACGCCTTCAATGAATGCTCCTTCTGGAGGTCTGGCCTTCCCCTCCCCAGGGCAGATCCTGAAAGGGGCGGAAAACAAGAAGTGGCACAAGGCATCGAAGGAAGCTGCTGCTGGTGCTACATCTGTTGCCCGGCGTGGGTGTTTGGGGTCCTGCCCATTTGCTGGAATCTAAGTATTGGGGGCGTGGTAACTGACTGAGAAGCCTCTCCCTGGAGCATAAATGGAGGAGCCCTCCGGGTCTGTCAGTGGTAGGAGTCCAGAGCAGCCTTTCTTCTCAGGGCCATATTGGGCACTAGGAACAGAGAGAGCAACAGACAGCTCCTGCTTTCCCACCAGGTTCCAGGTGGGTGTCTTGTTATCTAGTGCTGCTGCGCTGGCTTTAACAAACCGAAGTTTGTTCTCTCGCAGTTTGGGAGTCTAGAAGTCTAAATTCAGGGGCCTCGCTCTAGTGGAAGGCTTCTTGGCTCTGTTGGCTCTGGGAAGGTCCCTGTCTCCTTTCAACATCTGTGGAATGGATGTTCTTGGGAGAGCTCCATGTGCCTTGGCATCAATCTTAAACTGGGTCTAGGAGGTTCTCAACACAGGGATTCTGGATCCAAGGGATGTGGTCTGCTGCCAGTTTTTTTTCTTGGTGGTAGTCAGCTCCCTGCACCTCTGCTCACTTCTCTCTCCTTTTTATGACCTCTTGAAGGGTAAAAGATGATTCCGCACACGCCAGAGAAACCCCCTTTAGACTGGATCAGGGCTGTGACCTGAGTATGGGTGTTACATCTCATCCTAGCTCTGGTACAACTAAATGGCTGAGTCAGATCCCCTCAATGGGGATCATCACATCACTATACAACTGCCAAATGAAATCATTACACAAGTGCAAACCACTGAGAGTCATGACCCAGCCGTATGGGCACCTATGCCGTGGGGCCATAATTTAATCAAACCTTAAGATGGTCACACACAGCTGGAAAGCCTGAAAGACCAAAAAACTCAAACCTTTCCCATGTAGCCATCAAGTGTGGACTAGCAGAACCCAAGCAACAGTCAGGAAAGAAGGGGAGGTTGATCTGAACAGAAAGCTGCGTGCAGCATCACTGGTAGGGAATGCCCCAGCCATTCATACACCACAGGGAGAAAGGGAAGTGACAAGATTCCTCTGTAAATTCAAGGTGCTACAAGTCAGGTGAGGTCGCTCCTCCCCTAACTAAACATCAGAGCAGCCTCCACTACCCCAAGCTTCCACTGCCCAGAGATGAGCCTGCCAGGGGCATAGACGCAATAAATACTGCTGAATATGCACACATTAATTAAAAAAAACAAAGTGAAATTTTCTTAGCACTTTTGATCTTACCCAATCTCAGTTGGTAAATATTTAAAAGGGAGCTGTTTTGATTGTATTCATTTTAAGAGAGTTGAATAACTAAATCCTTTGAAAATTCAAAATTTGAGGGAGACTGTGGCTTGTTGAGAGTCTGGTCACTGAAGTCTGTACCTTCTTGGGGAGGGACTGGAAGGTGGCACACCTGCCAGAGGTTGTTGTCTGCTTGGAGTAAAGCCAGGTAAGGATGGTGGGTCAAAGAAATGTGGCTCAAGCAGTGGGCAACAGGCATGTGTGACGTGTGCACATCTGTGCCCCCAGGCCCATGGAGAGACTGTCTGCAGGCCCTAGAAGATGGCCATGACACCAGCTCCATCTACCTGGTAAAGCCAGAGAATACCAACCGCCTCATGCAGGTATGGTGTGACCAGAGACATGACCCAGGAGGCTGGACCGTCATCCAGAGGCGCCTTGATGGGTCCGTCAACTTCTTCAGGAACTGGGAGACATACAAGGTGAGAAGTGGCAGAGCCTGTCTACGCTGCTCACGACACAGCTGTCTTACCCAACAGAGACCTGAATGACTAGCAAAAGAGCCACTGGGAGGGAAGGTGTGTGTTGACCTGGTCAGGGCTCGTATGGCCCTAAATGATGAATACCTGAAAAAAGATGACTATCTGTAGGGCTATTTTTGCAAACCCACCAGGCTCGGTGGGGAGCAGCTCCATCCCTGGCTGCTGCTAGCCGCCACTGCAGGATGATGAGAGTGGAGTTCAGACCACAAAGCCGCACAAGACAGCCAGAAGTAGAGAAATACTAGGTAGGGAGTGGCCCCTCACTCCACTCTGGGTCTGACGAGCACCTTCCTCTGAGCTAGCGTTTCCATGGAGCCAGAAGGTTCTAGGAGAACCTGCTGCCCAATAGGCAGAGAACTGCAATGATTGTCAGGGCACCCTCATTCCCAGGGAACTGAAATGTTCAGTCTTGTAGTAGGAAAGCCTGCTGGGGCTCATCCATACACCGTTCCTTCCCGCTGAACAAAGAGGTGGTAGTAAGGATGGCGAGGACAGCGGGAGGCCGCCTTCTTAGGTTCTACCTTGGTGGTCCTCCTGATCAGCCTGCGTCCTTGACCTTCTTTTCTTTCTCCACCACCTCCTAATTCAGAAGTTGCTGAAGGCTCAGTCCTTGGCCATTTCCTCTTCCCTTTCCATATCCTTTCTCTTAGAGGCAGTAACGCACAATGGTTTGGACTGGGTTTTTAGTGCAAATCCTGGCTCAACAGCCAGCCCTGCTAGCCGTGAGCACTGCACTGACCACACTAATGCTCTCCGGGTTTTCCCCAGCAAGGGTTTGGAAACATTGACGGCGAGTACTGGCTGGGCCTGGAGAACATTTACTGGCTGACGAACCAAGGCAACTACAAACTCCTGGTGACCATGGAGGACTGGTCTGGCCGAAAGGTTTTTGCCGAGTACGCCAGCTTCCGCCTGGAGCCAGAGAGCGAGTACTACAAGCTGCGGCTAGGGCGCTACAATGGCAATGCTGGTGACTCCTTCACTTGGCACAACGGGAAGCAGTTCACCACCCTGGACAGAGACCATGATGTCTACACAGGTAGGATGGGTGGGTTCCGACCCAAGTCTGACCCAGAGCCCCGACTCTAGGGTTTGGATCCTAAGGCAGTAGGCAATTAAGCCAAGCTGCTCCAGCCCTCTCTTCCCTGCCTCAACTTCCTCTGCCGGTTGCCACCAACACATTGGTCTTTGGGGGGCATGGATGCCCTCTGCATAGCTGGGCCAGGGTAGCATTTGAAAAAAAAAAAAAAAAAAAGGAACAAACGTATAGAAAACACATACAAGGTTGCTCTAGGCCAAGCCGACTGTTGTGCTGGGTCATGCACTCACATCCCCTCCCTCTCCGTCTGCATCATACTCTGGGTCACACTACACATCCCCATGGCCTTTAGGCCATTTAGCCTGGGAACAAGTGCTGGCCCCACCTCCTACCATATGCATCCTTGGACATGCTGCTTAATCTGCCTGGGCCTCGGTTTCCTCACCTAGAACTAAGGGCAATGCCTACGCTGCTGGGTGGTGAGAAAGTTAGAGACAGTGAACTTAAAGCACTTGGTCTGGGATGTGACATATAGTAAGGGGTTGATACAAACAGGCTGTCGCAACATGGTTGATACAGTTATGCTTACTGTTATGGTTACTGGAAGGAAGCTATTAAGAGGAAGCTACTTTGAAGAGATGAGATGATTCCTCTGAGAACACATGCCTCAAAGGCAGGACTTTATTAAGAAGGCCTTATTAAATAAAAAAACAAGTGAGGAAGAGAAAATTGTTAGCAGCTCAAATATAGTCTGGCTTGGAGTCCCACCATCAGATCCCTCACAGGCAATGCCTCGCCGGCTCCACACTCAATTTCTTCAGATGAGGGCCTCTGGGCCCTGAAAGGCTGGGAAAGCCTGTCAGGCCAGGCCCTTCTCCCAGGCTGGCAACATCTAACTGTTAACCCTGCCTCCTGGCCAAGGCGGAATGTGTTCTCTCTCATATGCCAACCCAGCCCCCTCTGGCCCCATCTTCCCATTCAGTCATTGTCTCAGGGTTGGTCCCTCCCCTTTGAGGGGTGAGCTGTTGGAATTATCTTGCACTTAAGGCAAGACCTGCTGGCTCCACACCAGGGGAGGAGCTGCAAGTCAAGACATGCTTGACTGGGTATTTCTCTCAACACTGGGAAACAGGTGGAACTCAGCCTGCCATGCCATGCAGACTCTCAACCACTACCACCACTGACAGAGAAGTGACCTTGGTTGAAGGGGCTCCTCCGGAGGAATGGGTCCTCCTTCTTACACAGCATGTCTTCTTAGGTGCAGGCTGCTAAGGCGTCCAGAGACATAGGGCAAGAAGACGACCCCTCTGGGGATCGGGATGCTGCTAGAGCATTTCTTGGGGGCCATGAGAGGAGGCAGGGAGAAGATGGTGCTGTGACCATACCTGTCAGATCTGTTCAGAAGAAAAACCAGTGGCTGGTGAGAAAGGGAACTTCAGTCCCTGGAGCTGTGTGGGCAGAGGTCACCCCAAGCACCAGCAAGCTGGGAAGGGGCCTCCACTGGCAGACAGAGGCTGACCATGGCTGCCTGAGAGTCGCCGACTTGAACACTGGTGTTGGTCCTTGTGGCCTCAAGTCCAGCCCAGCAGGAGTCCACAGAAGCTCCAGGGAAGCCAGGGCTGCTGGGTGCCTGGGCCTGAGTTTCCTTTCAAGCTTCTTGCTTCAGCCTGCCTGCTCCCACTTCCCTTACCCCAAGGTCTCAGGCAGGTCAAGGCCATCAGCAAGGCCACCTGCTCCACCAGGTGAATGTGCCAACTTCCCACTGGGCCCTAACACACACACCTGATGAGGGCAGCCCTTCCCCTGGGTAGGAAGTTCCCTCCCTAGGCCTAGTAAGGAAACTGACGGCTCCCCACCACCCCTAAGGGTAGCCCAAGCAGACAGCGGCTCCTCTCCTTCCTGTGAAGTACAAGGTCTCTGCATGCCTGCTTACACCTTGCCCACACTTTTTATGGCTGTTCCGAACTACTTGTCCTTGGCAGCAAAAGTCAGCATGGTAGGCCAGTGCCAAAACTTCTATGGAAACATCTTGCTTTGGTGAAATTAAAAAAGAAGAAAGAAGGAAAGACTTGGACAGAAGGCAGGTTGGGGGAGAACAGAGGAGTGTTTCACCTTAAACATTTCCTTTGTCATTCTACAAAGAGAGTCTTATTTCAACAGTCTGAACTCAAACGTTTCCAAGAAAACACGCTTTCCCTCCGCATGTCAGGTCTTTCCCATTCCCATTAAACCCCTGGTGCAGAGTTCTCCGCAGGCACTTCCTGTGCTCTCATCAGGTGTCCTGCCTGGTTCTTGCAGCAGCCCCGGGGAGTAGGTATTGTGTGCATCCTCCTTTCACAGGTGAGAACACTGTGGTTTGAGACACTAATCACTCAGCTAGTTGGCTAGAAAGCTGTGATTCCAAGGCAGATCTGAAAGGGTGCTCTCCAGGCCCCACCCACCTCAGACATTCTTGCCCCAAATACCTACCAGTGAGGGGTGGTCCTTGATCCCATCTCCACCCCCCACCCCGAAAACAATGGGCATGGGTAAAATCACCTCCCGCCATAGAACTACTCACGTCCTTCTCTCCTGCAGGAAACTGTGCCCACTACCAGAAGGGAGGTTGGTGGTACAACGCCTGCGCCCACTCAAACCTCAACGGCGTCTGGTACCGTGGGGGCCATTACCGGAGTCGCTACCAGGATGGGGTCTACTGGGCAGAGTTCCGAGGAGGCTCCTACTCGCTTAAAAAAGTGGTGATGATGATCCGGCCCAACCCCAACACCTTCCATTAAGCCAACTCCTCCTCCTGACATCTCGGGGCCACTGCCAGGGGCCCAGCCCAGCCGCACTGGGCCCAGCAATTAGGGCAACCTTGTGCTAGTTCACCTTGGGGCTGGGGAGTTGGATGCTGGAATCTATTCCCCAAAGTCCATGAGGCAGACAACGGAACTGAAATGATACAGTATTCTCTGTTCCTACTACCGTTCTTCACAGTCGACAGCCCCTCATATTTCCAGGACAGGACAGGACTGCAGACAGGCTTTTCTTTAAATCAAGTCCCCACCGCCACAATAAAAGCACAACTGAAAAACACCTTCATAATACATGTGTGTTGGAACCTACCTTGTACACTTTTGTGTACGCACACAAGTAGACACCTCAATACATATGCATTTAAATATATATCACCCAATGCATCTAGATACATATGTAGAACTACTCTGCAGACCCTGAGATACATATATTCAATTCCTAGGTGTCGAGTGGTGGTCACCAACAGCTCTGTTTTTGGGAGAAAACCCTTTCCATCTTGTGCTACTTCCATCTAAGAGCAGATCACACACTCAATTCAGAGCACATGCCGAGTTCTTTGCGGGATGTCTACAATGCTACTCCTCTCACACAGGGGCACCACGTGAAGGTATTTCTTAAGGAACCCCATCAAATTTCAAAGTATACTTTCTCCATTCTCAGGTCTTTTTGAATCCACCCACCCAGCTACTTACCCATTCAGTTAACAGCGCCGTCTATATATCAGTCCCTAACCACTCACTGTATTTCAAATCGTCTTTACTGCTCCCCTACTCATTCCTTACCTTTTCTATTGCAATGTCTTTTCTTCCAGGGAAGATTCCTTACCTAGGCGTAGGAAACAGCCTGGGCTCCAGGTTTCTGGTCAGGAATGAGAAGGCCAAGCTCAAAACCTAACCACTGGCCATAAAGACAATGTGCTCACAGTTTTGCAGTTTCCATTCACATTTCAGTCTACCTGTCATTTTTAACCTTCACTGAAATAATAACCTACCTGGCCCAGGAATTATCCCGTTTAAGAGATGTCATCCTCTGATCACAGGGATGCCCTAACAGCCACGGACCAAAGGTGCCATGGTCTCAGGCTGAATTCAAAGTCAACATCTCCCCCAAAACTGTACTTCCCTGGAGAAGAGGTACCACTCCAAATGAGAACTGGCCACATCTCACGAACAGTCAGAACTGGCCACAGATGCCTTCGTTGGTACCTTGCAGCCATCATGCAGCCTGATGGCTTCCGGAGTTCTGTCGGCCAAGAAGCATCAGACTCAGCCCGACCAGGACCTCTGCCAAGCAGAGAGCACGGGGATGAGTCCAGAAGACGAGATCCTCCTCAGTGGTCATGTGGTCATGTCGGGTGTTCGAAATGTTGGACAATTTGGTACTGTCTATGTCTGTGTGTATTACCTCAGCATTTCTCAAAAAGTGTACCATGTAGCATGTTTTGTGTATATAAAAGGGAGGATGGTTTGTGTGTGGTTTTTTAAAATATACTATCAGATTATCTTTGTAATGACACAAATCTGCAATAAAAGCCACCAGTGCTATTTGGATGTGTCTGTGCTACATTATTGTTTCAGAATAGCTGCCTGAAGCCTCCTCTACCAGTGTCTCTTTAAGTAAAATGCAGAAGAGATTCAGTACCTGGGGCACCCACTAAAATTGTTTCTATAACATTTGCTCTAGCTCTGACTTCCCCTTAATCCCTCAGGAGTCCCAAGAAGGCAACACAGGCCGAGAGGGCTCTCTGGTCCCACACCCAGCTCTGTTCTGGATGTCTCCACCAGACGCCCTGGAACCGATGTGCAGGCAAAGCAGAGAACACCCTAAACACCGTCCCTGCGTCTCGCCCTCCTCCTAAACTTCCTGTCCCACACACAAACAGTGTCACCATCTACTCAATTCCTCAGATCACAAACAAAACTTCTTCCTTCTCCTCATGGAGGCCAGTCCATTCCTGTACCGCAGGCTCTCTTCTCTGCCATAGGGTACGACTTCCTAGCTTCACCCTCAAGGACTGAAGGTATGCCCAACCAGGGACTCTGTGTGTCCACCCTGCTCATTCTAGTCCAACAGCCACACAAACCTCCTGTTTAAAGTAAAAATCTGTAGTTGGGGTCCATATAGTTCCAGGCACAGAAAAATCACAACACCACAAAGAAGGCTAAGAGATGCAACTAAAGAAAATCTCTGATCTTCTACCCTCTGAAAAACAAAACAAGATGTGGCCAAGATTGAAAGGCAAATATTAAACCAGAGAAAAATATTTATGTCTCAGATGGCAAATAGAGGATCGATACCCATGTTCTTCCCAAATCTTTTTCAAATAAGGAAGAAAGAGGCAAACGCTCCGACAGAAAACTTGGCCACTCTGACTAGAATGGCTAAGATTCTTTTAAAAAGAAGCAATGTTGGAGAGGATGTGGGAAAACTGGAACCTTCAGCCAGTGCTATTGGGAATGTACAATGGAACCTGTTGTAGGGAAAAATCGCTATTTCTCAAAAAACTAGAAATAGAATGACCATATGACCAAGCAATTTCAGTCCCAGGTATGTAAACCAGGGATCTCACAGAAGTGACACGAACAGATATATGCACTATGAATAATAGCAAAAGGTGGAAACTACCTAAATGCCAATCAACATGACTGGATGAGCAAAATGTGGTACATACATGCAAAGTTCCTTCAAACAGTTCATGGAAAATGGAATGGAAAGATAATGGAATTTTTCCACAGACTTTTCAAAGCCCCCTTATTACTCAGTCATTAAGAACAAGTTAGCTCCTAAGAAATCTTGCAAAGTGGCGAAACTGAACTCAACATTCTGTTCAGGAAAAAATAAGACAAATACTCTGTCTATTCTTATAAATATGACAGTAATAAGTAAATATACAAAGATATGTTCATTTAAAAAACGAAAACTTCCTCATTGGAAGAAGTACAGCCAGAATGCGCCTTAGAAGCAAGGATGGCAAGACTTCATCTTATGCGCTTTGGACATGCCAGTCCCTGGAAAGGGGCATCATACTTGGTACAGTGGAGGGTAGTGAAAAAGAGGAAAGATGGGTTGGCACAGTGGCTGCAACAATGGGCTGGAACATCTGAACAATTGTGAGGATGGTGCAGGACTAGATGGGGTCTCATTCTGTTGCACATAAGGTCACCATGAGTCGGAACAGGCTCGACAGTACCTAACAACAACACTGTTCATTGGTGTAATGGGGGAGGGGGCTATAGTCCCTAGGTAGGAGTCTCAATTTGTTGATGGGGACTGGAAAAAACGGCACCCATGTGGTGATGTTTGCACAGCTTGACCAATGTAACTGATGCCAATAAGCTGTACAATGAGGGGTGGCGGGGGGGAGGGCGGGGGTTGGGGGAGAGAATACACTGGCAAATACTAGGTTTTATATAAATTTACAGCAATAAAAGAAGGTGGGGATGCAGATAATGATACTAATGAGACAAAACCAATCACCTCACAAAATTAGTTTTCTTGGCTTGAAGGCTTAGCTCATGGTCTCAAGGGAAAATCTAGTCAAAACACCAAGAACTTAAAGTTGATGTTCTACCCCAGCAAGTAGTAGCTTAAATGTTTACGAGTGTCCTCTAAGATCCAACAATTTGCCTCTATCCATTTGGAACAAAGGAAAAAGAAGGAAATTCAAGGATGAGAGAAGGAAACAGACTACAGGGCTAACTGCCTCCAAGAACCACTGCTTCCTCTCTTCAGCCCAGACGAACTACAAGACGCATGGTGACCACTAGCAAACATACCCTTCAGGGGCACACTAGATGGAGCTTGACAGAAAGAGCATGCACTAGAACTTCAAATTCTGTTTTTGTTTTAATCATTTTATTAGGGGCTCCTACAACCCTTACCACAATCCATACATCAATTGAATCAGGCATGTTTGTACATATGTTGCCCTCGTTCTCTTCTAGACATTATTTTCTATTGAGTCCTCGGTACCAGGTCTTTTTTTTCCTCCCCCATCCCCTCACCACCCTCATAGAGTGTACATCGTTATTATTTTCATCTCTCACACCAACCGCTGTCTCCCTTCCCCCATGTTTTCTGTTGTTCTTCCCCCTGTAGAGGGGTGTATGGTTATGTGTTGATCATTGCAATTGGCTTCCTCTTTCTCCATTCCTCTCCCCCCGACCCTTCCAGCATCACCATTCCCACTCCTGGATTCTGTGTGTCATGAGCTCCCATCCATTTCTACACCTGTGTACATGTTCTGGTCTAGTTGAACTGGGAAGCAGCACTGGGGTCATGGTAGTGCGGGGTGAGGAAGCCTCAAGGAACCAGAGGAATATATTGTGTTTCAACGATGCTTTACTGCACTCTAATGACTCATCCCCACCCTGTGGGCCCCTCTGTGGGGAGATTGTTTCATTATCTACAAATGGGCTTTGGAACTCTGCTCCAGGCCCCCTTGTTCTCAACAATATGATTTTGCTTGTTATGTGTCTGCTGATGCCTATTACCCGGTCCCTATAACGCCTCATGATTGCACCAGCGGTGTGCTTCTTCCATGTGGGCTTGTTGCTTCACTGCTGAATGGCAGCTTGTGTAGCTTCAAGCCTTTAAGACCCCAGACACTCTATCTTCTAATAGCCGGGCACGATGCGCTCTCTTCAAATTCTTAAAGGCTCTAGCCTTTGTACATTAGGACTGGGGGAACCTTTGACACTACTGCCGTGAGTTGCTCTTCAAACCTTGGATTGAAATTATCCCCTGGAATTGCACACGATCTGATCCCGCCACACTGAGGCAAAACGCTAAGGGGGTGCAACAGAACAGCAAGGGAACAGAGTGGCGAGGTCCTAGGGAATGCTGAAGGTGGACTTTGGGCCAGGGC